CAAGGGGACATTATTCCTTCCAGATCAGGCCATTCAGGCCTTAACCCAGGTCCTCCAAATTCCTTGGCTGGTGGACACCTTTGAAATGTTGACATAACAGCTATTACATATACATACAAATGCCTTCGAATGAGGTGAGGCAAGGCAGGGGGTGGGGTGGAGGTGGTGGCAGGAGGCACCCCGCCGGCCACCACCCCCGGGTAAGACGGGAGTCACTGCCACCAGAGAAAACAGAGAATGGGGAGGGGCGGGCGCTTTTGCTTTGGGGCTGGCCAAAGTTTTTACACCAGACAAACGTGGGTCTCCGGGAGTTAGGATAGAGCCCAAAGAGCAACTTAAGGACATCTAAAGGCAGGCACTTCCCTGAATGCTAAAAGTAACATGGAGGTGGACTAAGCCTCCTGAGAGGCAGAGGCAGAAAACTACTCCAGTGGTCGGCTTCACCCCCCTCACCACCCAGGAACAAAACTTCTCAAGCAGTCCCAAGGGTCACACCTGCTGGCACAAAGCAGCAGCCCATGTGAGCTGCCTCCTTCCCAGCCAGGAAAGGGAGAAAGGCGGCTTAGCGGCAGCCACTGCAACCTCGCGAGGAAAGTTCGCCTTCTCCCCCTGCTTCTTTTGCCTCTCCAATGATGGCAACAGCTGGAGCAGCCCCTTGCCTGTCTCACCTGGGAGCGGTGGCCAGTGGGGGGCTTCCTGCCGCCACTCCCATTCTGTGCTGGTTGTCGTTGCTGCCACCAGGGAGGTGAAGGAAACAAAGCGAAGGCGAACTTTCCTCGCGAGGTCACTGGTGGCCGCTGCTGCTATGCCTCCTCTGGTCTGCAGAAAAACCTCTCTCCACGAAACCAGTCCTGGTGCCCAAAAGGTTGGGAGTCGCTGACCTAGAGTGAGTTCAGATGGTCGGCATGCATGAACTGAGTTAGAGTTCTCCAGAATCTTTAATTCCTATATATGTGTTTTATACAAACCTGCCAGAAAGTAAACAAAGTTCTGGGCTGCCGCAACTAATATTTTAAAAATCTAAAATTAATTACATAAATATGTAACTTAACAATTGCCAAAGTAAGGGTGAAGAGACACATTGCTGTCTACAAGCAGCATGTTGTAAATCCAAGGTTACCTAAACCAGTATACTGTAACAGTATGTGGGAATAACCTTGGGAGACAGAGCAAGGCAGTGTTACAGGGGAATGGGCATTTAGTCTTCAGAAAGAATGTGGGTCAGGCAAACATCAGAAGGTACCCTCCATAGTTTCTTGGGCTGTAAAGGCAAAAGGAACATATTGTAAGGCAAAAGGAACATATTGTAAGGCTACATTAACAGACTTGCAAAATTCTGTTAATGTAGCCTTACAATAAAGTACAACTGGTTCATGCAGAGACATTCTTCCTATCTGGGCCACCTCATAAAACTGACACATACTATGGAAGTGGAAGTGGTTTGCCATTGCCTGCTTCCTAGTGCTAGCTTTGTGCTCAAGGATGGACTAGATTATTATTGATTTATTGGAATATTTGGAAGTGAATAATCAAATTCCGGCTGCTTTTATATTTTTAGATGCTGAAAAAGCATTTGATCAATTGGACTGGGGTTTTTTGTTTCAGGTTATAGATAAAATGAATTTTGGGGAAAAAATTTTTTCTGCTCTTAAGGCTATTTATCAACGGCAGACAGCACAGATTATAGTTAACG